AAGATAAAAGCCGTTCTTTCATCTCTGGAACGAAAGCTTTTTTTCCTTTATGCATCTAATGTGAACATGATCTATCAGCTAAAATACTCTTTGGAAATTCTTCCCAATCCTCCCATTTATGATCCTGCATGGGCAATACGATAAAGTCATAAAGACATGCACAATATATTATTCGAACGTAAGTAGCAGGTATAATATAGTGTTGTGAGGAATGTGAATAATCCCAACGCTGAGTCTTCTTTCATTTTTCTTTGATTTCTTTAAGGCTGGTTTTCATGCGTATTTAACATAATTTTATATCGTTATGATTCGTCGCAATTCATACGTGGTACTAAACTTGCTGTAATTTGCTGTATGCCTAGTTTCCGTGTATATATATACATAGTTTTAAATATCAAGGTGGCTGATGTGATAGAATTTTTCTTTGTGTATGCTGTCCAACATGCAGAAATCGATTTGAATGCAAAAACAAAGACAAATTCACATTCGGACAATTTTTGTCGTACGATTTTAGTCGAAAAAAGAAAATCGATCTCACCCAATTTGTGACGAAACGCGTGCAAAGCCTTCTTTGTCACGCCGACCGGATGAATGTTAAAACTAAAAATATATATTTTAGTATAAAGAGAAAAATTAGCAAAGACGAAAATCGAATTCGTGTTATATCACATTGGGTATACTATGCACTGATGTACAACACAGTAGAGTTTGGGTTTTGGTCGAGGGTCGAGGGTCGAGGGTAGTAAGTCGAGGGTCGAGAGTGAGGTCGAGGGTAAAGTCGAGGGTGAAGTCGAGGGTCAATTTTTATCGCATTTTACAATCGGCAAAGTCGAGGGTGAAGTCGAGGGTCAATTTTTATCGCATTTTGCAATCGGCAAAGTCGAGGGTGAAGTCGAGGGTCAATTTTTATCGCATTTTGCAATACGATATGACGCGCTTTGCTTAAGCTCCCTAATATCTTTCTTGTCGGAAACGCCAGAGTTACAAGTATAGTGTTATTAAATATCACATCCGGTTGGACTCACATCCGGTTGGCTTCTTGGAAGAGGGAACGAAAGCAATGGAATGTCAGAGTCAGCCAGATCTTACCCAAGGGGTTATTTTTTCCAATAAATTGTTTGCTGTTGTTTAATTCTGTTTGTTTTCTGTATCATCGTCGTCATCATCTTCAGGATCACTCTCTTCGTCGCTGTGATCGCCTCTTCAACGCTGATTGCAGGAGAAAACACAGCGTCGAGCACGGCGTTGTTTGCTGTCTTGCCGAGAGCTTCAACTTTTGCCAACAACGTTGCTGGACAAACTGGGGAATGACCAATGTTAGATCAGTGGGCAGAACACATATTTTATGTATGTATGTATGTATTATGTAGGGGTTCCACATCCACGGAAAACATTCCAAACGAGGTTCACTTTTTTGCAAATCGCATTTTCTATGCTGGAAATATTTTGGAAGTACTTTTAAGGATTTATATATATTTATGTATGCACATGCTAACTCAGATTTGCTTACCATGTTGCTGCTTCTTTTGAAATTAAAGATCTTTACAAGCATTGCATTACTGTTGGTGGCAGTATTCTCACTAAATGCAACTGTGTTCCACTGAAACACACCCCTCATTTATTTTGTATTCTATTTACCTGTATGGGTTTTGTGGGGTTTCCACTGATGTGAACCCTAGTGGAAGCAATTGATTGGTGATAATCTTCTCACCAAACAGGTTGAGAAGTTTCCACTTAGTGGTGTGTTTGGGTTGTCTTTGGGCTTGAGGTTGTTGAACTGCCATGTTGAGGTGAGTATAAAAAGGGATTCAAACTTGAGGTGAGGAATTCAGCTGCCTTTGCTATTAATTTACTAATTCTTTTGGAACTGAAATTAAATTTCCTAGGTGGCAAAACTACTGACTAGAAGGAATGCAGCTCAGCTTACAGGCATCAATTTCTTTGCTTTGGATGCAATTTCATCAGTTGTGTCGGTCATCTTGGTCCTTCTTAACACAATGTGGAAGTTCTTAACTGGATATTCATCAAATGCGGCCAAGTTTTGGTGTACAGTATCAAACACTAGAGGGCTGTTTCTTTGCCAGTGGGCCAAGGTGACCAACACAGCTGATAAAATTGCATTCAAAGCAAAGAAATTGATGCATGTAAGCATGAGCTGCATTCTTTCCAGTCAGTATAGTTGTGCCAGTAGTAAATTAATAACAAAGCCACTGAATTCCTCACCCTCAAGTTTGAATCCCTTTTTATACTCACCTCAACATGGCAGTTCAACAACCTCAAGCCCAAAGACAATCCAAACACACCACTAAGTGGAAACTTCTCAACTTGTTTGGTGAGAAGATTATCACCAATCAATTGCTTCCACTAGGGTTCACATCAGTGGAAACCCCACAAAACCCATACAGGTAAATAGAATACAAAATAAATGAGGGGTGTGTTTCAGTGGAACACAGTTGCATTTAGTGAGAATACTGCCACCAACAGTAATGCAATGCTTGTAAAGATCTTTAATTTCAAAAGAAGCAGCAACATGTTAAACAAATCTGAGTTAGCATGTGCATACATGAATATATATAAATCCGTAAAAGTACTTCCAAAATATTTCCAGCATAAAAAATGCGATTTGCCTACCTGCATGCACAAAAGTGAACCCCCTTTATTTGGAATGCTTTCCGTGGATGTGGACATTTGTTTCACATTGAATGTGTTCTGCCTATCATTAGCCATTGCCCAGTTTGTCAAGCAACGTTTTTGGCAAAAGTTGAAGCTCTTGGCAAGACACCAAACAACGCTGTGTTTTCTCCTGCAAATATCAGCGTTGACGAAGCGAACACAGCGACGAAGAGAGTGATCCTGAAAATGACGACGACTATGACGATGATACAAAGAACAAACAGAATTAAACAACAGTAAACAATTTCTTGGAGAAAATAACCCCTTGGGCGAAGGTGTGACTGACTCTGACATTCCGTTGCTTTAGTTTCCTTTTCCAAGAAGCCACTACACTTACACTTGTAACTCTGACGTTTCCGACGGGAAAGGTATTACTCTGTACCACAGAATAGGGTTTTTACTACACAATAGTCAGTCTACTGGAAGGAAATACGTTTAAAGTACAAAATTTTTAGAGTCTGACAAAGTATTTCACATGCGTTTTAAAGACAGGCTATTAGGGTGTCTGCTATTTTATGTGCGTTGACCCACGGTTCTTCAAACATAAATATTTCGCGTTGTAGATCGAATTTAAAAAATCCCCACGAGGAAATTAAAGAAAAAGTCGCGCTTTGTCACAATTTGTTAGTTTTGAAGGAGGGCTTAGAAGATGGTGTTATTTTCCCACTCCTTTTGTTTACATATTTTGAATTTCGCGCATTCTGATTGGTCTGGAACGAAAAATGTAAACAAATGCACTGATTGGCTAACATTTTTCACCCTTGTTCAGGCAGCCGGTCACTGCTGTTACGTCATTCTATATACGTAACAGCAGTGACCGGGCTGCCTGTGATGAAACTGGTATCGATAGAAAGCTTGCATTAATAAATATAAACAAAAATAAATAAGTAAATATAAAGCTTCGGTTAAATGTGTATCTACGGTGGCCCATAGGGGACATGCCATAAATATAAATATATGCCTTCAGAATTTTATATAATGCCTTCAGAATTTTATATGATACCTTCGGAATTTTATATGATGCCTTCAGAATTTTAGATGATGCCTGCAGAATTCTATATGATGCCTTCAAAATTCTATATGATGCCTTCAGAATTTTATATGATGCCTTCAGAATTTATATGATGCCTTCAGAATTTTATGTAAGGGCCTTCAGAATTTTATATGATTCCTTCAGAATTCTATATGATGCCTTCAGAATTTTTGATGACGCCTTCAGAATTTTATGTAAGGGCCTTTGGAATTTTATGTATAGGCCTTGGGAGTTTTTCGTGATGCCGTCGGAATTTTATATCAATATGCGGAATACGGAGTGCGAATGTAGAGTATAGAGTAGAGCGAAGGATCAGAGTATTACAATATTTATGTAAGCAGTGGCAGCGCTAGGGGGGTGTGTTGTTTGCCCCCCAGATCTTTTCATGTTACGTATAACTAGTGTAATTCTGTTTTAACTTTTAAATACTTTTCTATAGTCTTTCCCCCAAAACATTTCTTTGACCCCCAATTGCCCCCCCCCTCATTTTAACCTGGCGCCGCCACTGTATGTAAGAACAAACAAGGGACGTTGCGAAAAGTGCAACCCAGGTCCTCCAGCAGGAATCGAACTGAGGTTAGGTATAGGGTTAGGTATGACGTTTGAGAGATTTTGAATTGACAAAATTCTGCTGATTTATAGGGACTAGGCAATGAATTTTGATGAAGTTTTGAATTAAAAAATACAATTGGCATTTTTTAGCTTTGTGCCTAAATCTAAAATTCTACAACTTTATTCTAACAATGCTACACGCTTTTTAAAAAAACATATCTGTGCGAAAGCCTTCAAATATGATGGTTTGCTTAACAGAAAAAAAAATTCAGATTGGATCAGTTAAACTCTCCCATCAACCAAATTGTTGTGAAATGTTCATGTAAATTAATTCATTTTAACACTTATCTCAAGTGTTTTACGGATTTTTTATTTACTCCGACTCATTTATTTGGGCTTCTATGGTCATATCGGCGGCAAATTTCGGCAAGGTTTTCATCAGCGAGCGTTCAGCGGGTGCAAGCGACGGTAGTTCAATTCACGGTAGTTCTGAGCTCAGACTGGGTGAATTAACAGTTGATGTGGCTGTCTGCAACCATCGCAACTATCGCAACCATCGCAACCATTGCAACAACCGCAACCACAGCGACCATTGCAACCACCACATCCATCGCAACCATTGCAACCACTTGGGACGAATATCACCAACGCCGAATTTCTCATTGTTCGTACTCATTTAATTATTAATTTCAAAAATATGCTCAGGGAAAACTTTTTCAGCTAACAGCCAATCCCAATACAGCTTCCGAGATTACCCCCATTTATATATACATGCAAATCAGGAATGTGTTTGCCATGTTCACATGTAGTGAGATGTTCTGCAATAGCACTTGAATTAAGCTTCGACTAGCTTCGTCCCTAATTCCGAACTGTTTTTGGCAATTTATTAATCCAAACAGCCCGAGAAAGATATAAATAAACCATTTTGTTCCCTCTAAATCAGCATTTTGTCTTTTTTCCACAGTATATAATTAAATACATGCACACCTTAGTTTGACACCTTGATTTTCCGAAATAGTTTTTTAACTAGATTTCCCTAAACTACTAGCAGGCTGAATATTATAATATTTAATGCCTGGGAGAGTTAGAAGTGAATATGCACCTTGGCTTACAGAAGGCCTGAAAAAAGCCATGCATGTACCATCTCATTCCTTTCCAGGCTTTTTCGCTAATTGTTTTTATATGGTTATATGGTCTAGCGAAAAACCTGGAAAGGAATAGGAGCACAAAGATTATGCAAATCATTTGTTCGATTAGATACACTCCAAATCTTGATTATTTTGATTATTCTTGCCTTGCATGGAACAATAACCAATTGTTCGCTAATGTTTAAAACGAATTTGCAGAAACTTCAAAACAGGGCAGCAAGAATCATAACCGTCGGAAAATATTTATGAGATCCGGTCAAAACAAGTAGCTACTTGAAAATTTAGGATGGAAAACCTTAGAAGTAAGACGATGGTCTAAATTACATGAGTAAACAAAGTAAGGTTACATGAGTAAAATTATTAAAGGGGGGAGTCCTGAAGTAAGTTCTGATTTATTTGAAATATGAAATAATGAAAATTCTAATCTACGAAGTAAGCGTATGAGGCTTTCAAAACCTAACGCAATTGCTACGATAAAGAGTTTTAGTTACAAAGGCGCAAAGGTCTGGAATAAGTAATTAATTTTTTTAGCTATATCATTTGTAAATGCTACATGTACATATAAGCTCACGCTCACGGCTCTATGAAAAACAATGTATATTGATAGTCTACCGTGATTTAATAAATTTAAATGAAATGAAAATTAAGTTAAATGAAATACGAAATCTAAATCCGCAGCGGTGCACATATAAATACAATAAATTGAGCAATTTGAACGGAGAGTCAATAAAAACGTCTAATACGTCCGGATTACTTAATGTCCATGCTCCCACGATCCCTGAAATACAATTCCATGTAATTTAGAAGATCTTTTAAATTCGCAAAACAGCAGTCGATTTCTTAGGAACTTTCAAGCTTTTCATTTTCTGTCAGTTCAGTCAATCGCACTGCTTGATAAATGTATATATAGCCTAGTTGACGTAAGTTATTCCAATCATCAAATTAACAATTACGTTGCAAAATTTGGTGCATCATAGTATGAAGTTAGCTTATGCATACATGCATTATTAAAGAATTAAACATAAATCTATTGGCCTATTGGCCAAAAGGTAGTTTCAGCTTTCCGTACATGGTTTGAAGATGCTTCAATGCTTTCAATTTATCCTCGCGTTCTTCTCCATCCTCACAGTAATCATTAATGGCGTTTTCCATCTCTTGGTAACTTCCAAGCTCTGGATGCGCCAGGTACAATCGACTTTGCGTCAGGTCGTCCACCATATCCAAAAACCAACTTTCAAACATTTCCTTATCAAGATCACTTAGTCGTGCGGTTGCTTGCTCTTTGACACCTTCTTCATCTCTCATTTTTTCTATCTTCCCTTGCAACGTTTTCAGTTGCAAATTATACCGAGCCCTCTTACTTGCCCTATCGGTGCCAGGAAAGACATATTTTGATACAAGCGATTCCAACTTGAACGCAATTTGACCAACCAATAATTTAACTCTTTCTTCTTCGGATTGCAGATGCTTTTCTCTCAGGTCGGCGACAATCTTCTTCGTCTCTTCGTTGTCTCTGATCAGCTTATCGTTCGCCTCCTTGAGCTCTGTCTGGAGTCTTTCGAAGTTTGCAATGACTCTTTTCATTTCCGCGTTTTCCATCATCAGCCTTTCATTTGCTTTTTCTAACGCTTCTATTCTTATTTCGTATTCATTTCTACTTTCATCGTGATCCGATTTCATCTGCCTCATCATTTCCTTCCAACTTTTTGCCAGTTCACCAAATTGCTCGGACATATCAGCTGTCTCCAGCTTCGAGTTCGCTAAGGCATCTTTCATTTTTCGAACCTTTTCACGCAGCGAAGCATTTTCGTCTGTCAAATCTTCCTGTATGCCAAAAATGTGTTCAATTATATTATAGGCGCCTAATCATAAAAATCGCAACTTGCAGTAGGTCAAATTCTGCTAGATTCATACTCTTAACACAGAATCGTAGGGGTGTTTTGCTTTACTAATATACTGGGAAAGGCCAACATGTAGCTACAATCCCATCCCACGACCCTGTAAAACAAATTTTACAACTACCTTTATACATTATACATTATAGAATATGCAACAATGAAAAGTTTTCACAAAAAAAAATAAGGGTCGCGTTGCTAGGAAAAGCATATATAGCAGCGGGCATCAAATTTCATACAAAAACCGATATACTACTTACATTTTGCATGGCCAATGCTGCTGCTAACGCCGTACGATCCCTATTGAGCACACCACGTACTTCTATTCTTCGCAGCTGTGCATAAGAAGGCTATAGAAAAAAGTTATTCTCCACTGTACTAAGCTATATGACAATAGAGCTAATTTCGATGCACAACCTTCTACATAAATTTCAGAATACATCCCTAATATAATCTTCCCGTCACTTAGGAAGTAAACTTACCCTATTTTTTTCTTCATTAACTTCTACCATTGAATGATCAAGATTACCTGGCAGTTCTGCACCGTGTAGAGTTGCCTATGGCCAAAGGTGAAAATAAGAGGAAGTAATTAAACGCCCTGATACAACAAAACGCAGCGCAAAAATTTCTACAAACATGCAAAAATTGGATGAGACAAAATTGAAATGATAAAACGCTGAGGTAAATGTGTTACCTTAAACACACTTTCAGCCTAAAGGCTTGCAAAATATAGAAATTTTAAATTGTTATATTTTTATGGCTGAAGAAATCCCACAACCTTGTAGCAAATAAGATTATCTGCTACCTCAGTAATTTTATATGCACTGTAATTTTATGTACGTATATATATTTCCATCAAGCTACATTAGCAATGGTCTTCAAGTTAATAATACCCTGCACTATAGCACAATTGAAGTCAAGATCGGCAGTACTAGCTTAGTGTAACAGACAGTGTTGCAGCTGGCAATTAAGCGTCTTAAAGAAAATCTGTCGTTATGGATTTCCATTGCATGCAGCGCTATGATGATCGAGAAATGACAAGATTTGTCTTGTCGAAACTTTTGCATCGAATTAAATATAGAATACGCTGGATCATGTATACTATATAGAAGCTACAATGTCAATAGTACTGACTTGCGGTCGTCGAGAATTTACACGGTTTCAGGAATATAATATTTTGTTGGGTCATGTAGCAGCTCGAACAAGGTCTGTTGCGATTTGTTGATGAGAAAGTTAATTATTAATAACATTTTTTAACGAATTAATGTTAAGTCACTCCAGGCAAAACGAGAAAATATTTTAGGAAGAACTTCTACAATCAAATTGACTAATCACTAAACAGAACAGAACAGGCTGGACATATGTCTCAGGTGGAAAGAGAGATAACATGAACTCAGCCACAGTAAACACTGCCAATATATGTAATGAGGGTAGCAAAGGTATTGAGGGTAGCAAAGGTATCCAAGGTAGCAAAGGTATCCAAGGTAGCAAAGGTATCCAAGGTAGCAAAGGTATCAAAGGTAGCAAAGGTATCAAGGGTAGCAAAGGTATTGAAGGTAGCAAAGGTATCGAAGGTATCGAAGGTAGCAAAGGTGATTATAAGGTGTGTAGTAACTTGTTTACATGATATTTAAATTTATCCTTTTTGTACTTCTTTAAGTTGTGCTGCCAAAATTGTACAGTTTTTTTTATTTCTTATGAACAGTTATTGTAATTGTTCAGTCCTAGTATGAAAGTCCTTATGTTTTGACATTATTGATTTGTAGGGAGATATATAACCCCCTTGCTCTAAATGTGAATAGCTTATTTGAAACATTCAACATATTATTTTATTTATTTACACTCTTGGGCTGGGAGACTTTGAGACCATTAATATTAGGGACCAGCCTGGGTGGGAGAGGAAGGGAAAATGTGGGGTAAAAATTTGTATTTATTGGGTGGGGTAAGATATGAGAAAGTGAAAGATGGGGCGAGAAAAAAAACAATATAAATATTTTCTTCATAAAATTTTAAACCAAACATGAACTGTACAATCTAATAAGTCACTATCTATAAAGTGACTGCATGCATGGATGGTTTGCATTGATGCAACATACATGGCTCTTCCCCATATACAATCAGCATTTAAAGCTTATACAAATGTTATAATGCTTGTTGTAAATAAAACTTATAAAATTAAGATAACTATTTTTATTGCCTAGAAGTGGTGTAAACTTTTTCTCAACACATAAAAAGTGGGGTTGGAAAATTTTGAGAATTAAAATATGTTATCCTCAGTCCACTCCTGCTATAAATAATGACTGGCCTTGTAAACACCAAAATTATATCACTTGGTGCCTTATATCAATTCTTATCGCTTGGTTGTCATGTCCCTACCAATTTCAACCTAGCAGTAAAGAACTTCAATTTGCTTCATTGAACCCTGTCAATCTCAGTTCACATGCAGAGATTAATACCACAAATGATTATATATATAAATGTTATATATTTGCAATCAAAGTGATATACAACCACTGTCAACCAGAACTTATTGTCACTATGTGATATTATTGTATGATTAATAATTAATACATACAAACATTCAGCAATGTCTAATACAAAATTTCCATATTCTAATATACTGTAAATCAGTCATAAATAAAAAAAACCAAATCACAAGACCTCCACCTCAAGCTTTTTGTTGTTACTCTCGCCAGCATATATTAGCTTCTGGCATCAAAAATACCTTGTGTAAAGTGATGAGTCTATAAGGTGGGTGTATAGGTAGATTCTTTAACAGATTGTGTGCATGTGACCTATGAGAGATGTTACTTAAAGATATAAATAAAAGTAGCATAAATATACATACACCACACTAGTTGTGTCTTCGCGCCTTGGCTATCAAACCGTCCCTATACATATTTTCAGCTGCTCTTTTTTAACCAAGTGCCCCTAGATCGCCCTTGGGAGTGAGTTTAATAATTTTTCACTATATGTGTTGGCTTTGCGTTTCCTAGTAAATATACGCAATTTCCTATCATTTGCACACTCAAATCACTCTGAAGTATGGTGAAACCCACCAATAGCTTTTTGTTGTTGTTTAATTAAACATACATGTACTTGTATTGATATCGCTTGTTATTAGTTGTTATTCTTATCATCTTGTGACGAACGGAATATTATGCGCACTGTACTCGCGTAGCTGCAAAAAACATATAAAAAGCGAAATAAATGTAATACCACATGTGTAATACTCTCCAATCTGTATTTTTTTTGCATTTATATTAACATTTTCTATTATATCGAACAATAATAGAGTAACAAAATATTTGAATATACATAGTGACAAATACAATACTTCAATGCCTCTTGAGAAGTCGCAAAATTCGCCAAATTCAAAAAATGAAGGTGACATGCACACAGAGCGATTAATGTTAACCACCAATCACTAATCACTAATCTTTTCGAACTAGCTTCATTTCGTTTTGTAATTTCACTAAGTTTTTCAACGACCCTAAACCACATAAACGCAATAAACGCAAGATGAAAATAAACCGGAAGTTTTAATTAATAATTTCAAAGTTAATAATAGATTCCATGTAATACGGACGTGCTATTGGCTTGCTACCTTCGCTACCCAATTAGAGCTCTAACCAATAGAAAACAACCTTGTTCAAGCTGCTACACTACAGTGGCCAGTGGGGTAGATTTTGTTTATAACATTGGATGATAAAACTTTTACATTCCACAAAAGGGCTTCTACTTTTGTGCACGCTGGACCAAGAAGTTATATATTCTTCGCCCGGAATTTTCTTTATTTTATAATGTCGAAGGTTGATGGCTATAGACGTTTTATAAATGATCGATTAAAGTTTCAGGCTGAGCATGTCGAAACATGATTACAAGAAATAATGAACTATAGAACTCGCGAGTTTTCAGACGAAACAGCATGTCAGTGGTGCTTTAAGGAAGAGAAGGGAACTAATAATGACACGGGCTATTCAGTGTTTCGTTAACATCAGTCGTACAAACGAATCATCAGTAAACTTTTATTTCTAACAAGTCTTCCTTTTCATAGCAGGTTATCCTGCCATATCACTAGTTATAAACTGATATTTCATAACGATGAAACTAACCTGTAATCGAGGTAATGCCATTAAGAACACTTTACTCTGAATATGACGTTAAATTTTCGATGCCGGATAACGCGATATGGTTTTGCCTTTTGCGGAATTTCTCAGTATTCAGACTCTGGCAAACGACAAAATATATATAGCAACAATGTCTTTCATTATTAAAAATCACGTGAGACATCTACCGATGCAACGTTGAGAGAATCTATATGGCGCTTTTTTAGGTTCAAAATACGAAGATTTAAATTCAACGAATGTGTAAGAATTAGTCGATAACAATAATTCGGTAAACACTGGATTTGTTGAAAATTATCGCATGTATAGATACAAAAGAGTGAATTTGTTGATTGAACGAATTCCTCGATAATGCTTTGCGAGCTTGAATTTTTGAGCCCGCATGTGTTAATGAACCGTAATGTAAAACGTCATCTTATAATCTTGACAAAAATACCAATTCAAAATGGCGGCAGAAAATACTGTTAATTTGTATTTATCGAGATTACGACTGTCACTTATTGATCTTGGCAGGAGATTGCAGTCCAGTCCAGGTGACGACACTGTAGAATTTGTTGTGTTTCGTTTGGAGCAAATATGTGGTCATTTGACTCGGATGGGAGATAGATTCCACGTTATCGTCCAAGCTATCACAGAAGTTATATCACTTCTCCAAAACTTAAGATTAGACCACAACAGAGTAGCTATTCCCAACATTCTAGAACAGACTAGAACGAACTCCGTCGGAAGATCAAAGTTTAATATAACTCAAGAACAACTGGTCTATTTACTTGAGTATGATATATCAGTACCTGACATTGCACATGCCCTTGGAGTCTCGCAAAGTACAATTAAAAGGCGACTTAGGGAATATGGCATCTCAATTCGTAGTGAGACTGACGAACGTTTAACTGATGATTCAATAGACAACTTGGTAAGAGATGTGCAGCAGCAGTTTCCAAATGCTGGATACCGAAGGGTTTATTCTGTACTGAGGGCAAGATCAGTGAATGTCACACAAGAAAGTGTGAGAGAGTCAATGCACAGGACAGACCCAGAGGGTGTTGCCATGAGATGGCTATCAATAACTCCTAGAAGAGTTTATAATGTTCGAGGTCCTCTTTCGTTATGGCATATAGATGGCAACCACAAGCTCATTCGGTAAATACTTTTTATAAAGATAAGAAATTAGACCAATGCATTAAAACAGTAATTGTATATCCATTTCTTTTATTAGATGGCGCATTGTTGTGCATGGTGGGGTTGATGGATACACACGTATTCCAACATTTCTGAAGTGTGGTACCAATAATCAAGCTGAAACTGTGCTTAAATTGTTCGAGGAAGCAGTCAATGAATATGGTTTGCCATCCAGAGTACGATCCGACAAAGGTGGTGAAAATGTCCTGGTTTCCATGTTCATGCTCAATCACCCGTTGAGAGGCCCAAATCGTGGAAGTATGATTGTGGGCAAAAGTGTACACAATCAGAGGATCGAGCGACTATGGAGAGAGGTCTTTGATGGTGTGTTATACATCTACTATCACCTATTTTTTCATTTAGAAGATTCCCTTGTGATTGATGTATCAAATGATATGCACTTGTTTGCATTACACTTTGTGTATGTACCAAGAATAAACAGTCACCTTCACATTTGGAGAGAAGGGTACATTCGGCATCATATTAGGACTGCAGGAAACCGTACTCCTATGCAGCTTTATGTGCTTGGATTGCTAAGAATGCAAGGAAATGGGCTTAGTGAAATGGATTATTTGGAAAATCTTTCAGTTGTAAGTATTAAGCTAGGTATAGTCAATATAGGTCATAGTCCATTAACAAAGCCGTTGTGTGTAGTGATATTTCAATTTTTTTAATTGGAATTCCCCTAAATAGGAAGAAATAGAGTCATATGGAATTGATTATAATGGTCCATTGCCATTGGACTCAGATGAAGAAGAACATGTGACAGTTCCAGCCACAACAAGCCCATTATCACACGAAAGGCACGAGGAGCTTGTTCGATTAGTCAACCCACTCAGGCAAAGTAATAACTTTGGAATTGATATACTTTTGGAAGTTTTAGCTTTTCTTCCAGACTCAGCCATTTAGAATATGTTGCATGTAAACATGATTAACAAAACGCAACAAGTGATGTATTAATGATAAGTAACAATGTAAATTATACATATCTAATCTCTTATATCTTATCTCTTATGGTGTGTTAAATGAGGTGCCATGATCCATTATAACAGCTTTAAGAGCTTCTTTAAAATCATCATAAAACTGGACATCATTTGGCAAGTGTAACATCTTTAGGCAAGTTGAGGCGAATATCTCTCCATCAGATTTGTCAAACTTAACTGTAATTGATCTTAAGCCAGCTACACTGACAGTACCAGTAGTAAAGGACAAAAAATTTTCCAGCTCTAAAACAAATGACATGCTATATTAGATGGGCTAATATTACATCACAATCATGGGGTAATAAACTCTTCTTCTTACCTTGTTCCCTACATTCATCAATAAAATGTAGAAGTAAGTGCTTAACAACATGATCACCGCAACCCTCAGGAAAACGCAGTTTGCTTTTGACAAATTCGGCATTAATACATTCCTCTTTCCATAGAAATAAAGGTGCCATTATTTCAGGATGTTGCATTATAGCTTCCAAGACACCATTAATTTTTAGGCCATCCTTTAATTGATCCAGACTCACTTTTCGTTTATTCAAGGCAAAGTGGCATAGGGCAATTTCATCCTTGTTCTGAAGCTGAAGAATTAAGAGAATTTTAAAATAACATTTATATATGAATTATTATATCTATGAGTAATAAAACTTAGTTTTCATATTTTTCCAATTAAGTTCTTGCTTACAGATAAAATTGATGTGCTGCCAATGTCAGAAAGAATGTTTATAAATGTTTCATCCCTGTTCAGATCATCAACATCCATGATGGAAGTTGCATTGATTACCTTTAAATAAAATATAGTATCTTTTCAAATAAAAAAAACACATTAATGAGGTGAAAATACAATTGGAAAATGTAACATCTATAGTACAGTAACTACGTTCCAATTTAACCAGGGAGCAGCCACTAGCACCTTCAAACAACTTAGCATCAAATGTGGTATGACAACTGCCTAAAATAGACAAAATGCTTCTCGACGTTCAGAGGGCCTTCGTCAGGAGGATTAGGTAAGACTTACTAACTCTCTTGATGAAGGCCATCGGGTCCAAACGTCAAGAAGTGGTTTGTCTATTTTAGGCAGTTGTTATACCACATTTGATGCTACTATATAGTTCTCTAACGTTTACCTTTTGTAGGCATCCAGCAACTTCTTGGTCATGAACATCTGCTAACTGTGCATATGGTATTGCCTTGCTAATATCTCCATACACAATGTACCAGTAACAGGCTGGGGATAGTTTTGAAAAACCAATCCCACACTGGGAAATTGAATGTGCGATCATTTTCCCAATAGCTTCCATAATGCCTGAGAAAACAATGCGACTGCTGTAGGCAGGCAAAAGCTTTGTAGGAGGTCCTTCGAACAGCCCAAAAGCTTCATCATCACCATTAGCTAATTTTTCATACACCTTGTCAAAAAACTCTCTACTTACACCCCCCGTATCGATTGCTGGCTGGTTAGCGAATGACACTCGTAAAGGGCGAGATCCATTAAATTTTGGATTCTTGTATGTGGCTAGAGCATCAGATAACATGGTATTTGCATCAGTAGTAATTCGCAAGTAAGGTCCTCTCAAATTCTTTCCAAGACTTTTGAGTATGGATAAAATGTCTATAAAATAATTTTACAAAATAATATAATAATAATAACATTACAATAATAATGGTTAACATATGGTACGATTTAACTAGTAATGGTTTGCCTAAATGTTTAGGACATACTTTTCCAAAATTACATCAGTAGATTACCTGTGCTCCCAGTGTTTTGGGATGGTAATGGGAAGGCAATTGAATGATTCAACTCTTCATCGTCGCTACTGTCATCACTATCGAATAATTCTAAAATTAAATATCCCCCATTGTTAATTATATTTTTTTCATAATATATATTGTTTAATTATTACTTCATTACCAATGGTGTGTGAGACAGCTGTGTTTGTTATTGCATGATTACTTTGTTCTTCCTCTTGAGAAGTACCCATCACTAAGAATCCAAATGTAAAAAGTACTTCAAGAATAGAACTTGATTTTATTCCCCTTTACTGTTATGAGCAGTGAACAACATAATCCTGTTTAATTAAGGGTTAATAAGAGGTCAAGTAGTCAATGTTGTAATGTTTACCTCTGGCTAACACAATGTCAACTGCTTTATTCACATCACCCACTGCTTCTATACAAGCTGTACTCAGTAAACCAGTATCAGTTTCAGGAAACATATTTTTCAAGATTGTTATTGCCTCTAAAAATATTAGGCAAACTAATTAGGTAAATGAAGCCACAGTTATAATGTAACAAATGTGTTTACTTAATTCTATACCTTGATCCACAATATGATCTGACTGCATATAATCAACTATTGAAGCTTGGATTGAATGTCGATCACTATTATGACAAGATAATAAGTACAAAAGGTGAAAATTCCTCTAGGTAGAATATTGCTTACATACTTCACATGCTGGTGTGTACGTAAATAAATCAACTTACCTGACAGTTGGTTGACACCCAGATGGACCACCACCACATGTTTGCTGATGATCCCTCATTGCAGACATAACAATTTCTTCATTGCAATTGACACATGCAACTTTGGGTGAACAATCTAAATCCTGTATATTGACAGAGAGCATGCTAAATTTCAGTAATCTCAATATTACCTCATAAAGAAATATTCAAAAAGTTATCCATCAGCAATTTCTTACCTGTGCCATTTCTGTGACATTATCCAAATGAATGTCTTTTTGAAGCGGCCTCAAGTACCCTTTTGCCTGCCCAAGAGCACTTTTCAAAAACTTAACATCATATCCACCACGAGGGCAAGGGACATCGATCAATCTTTTAGAATTTCCATCTGACGTACGCATTATTTCATAGCCGCCACCCTTTACAAGGTTGGGAAAGGTTTCCAAGAACTTTTCATGCACATGCGCTGCGTCTCCGTCTTTTAAGAATGTTATCGTTTGTTCTCCCAATCCAGAAAGACTTAGTCTAATTCTTTCTGCGGCATTTGGAGGACAGAACTTATTCACTTCGCTTAGGCAAACGAATGCCCTAGTAAAAGTGTTTTTTGCTAATGATTTTTTCGTATATGGTGCAGTCATGTTTCGAGCACTGGAACGCATAACATGCGACTGTCTACCAATTCTACTTGTAGATGCTGGTGGGCGATAACCAAATAGACGACGATGCTCCAACAATGCTGTATATGATGTTGTGGTTGGAGTTGGTGGCACATTTGTGGTAGTTGTTATAACCGGGGTAAATGTACTTGATGAAGAAGGCTCCGCAGGAACGACCGGTGCTGGCGTTGAACTTTGTGTTGAATTTGCAGAGGGCGCTGAAACGATGCTGTTAGCGGCGGATAGAAGTTTTTCTGCACAATCTCTTAAAATATTTTCCATTACGGCTGCTATTTCCTCTGTTATTTAACACAGTATAAATTATTTGCATAAAAACGCGCGAAGAAACAGAATTCAAGAACTTCATGTAACTTCACGCATATTGAATAGCACGTGGGCGCAAGGTCGCAAAGCATTATCGAGGAATTCGTAAAATCAACGAATTCACTGCGATAATTTTCAACAAATCCAGTGTTTACCGAATTATTGTTATCGACTAATTCTTACACATTCGTTGAATTTAAATCTTCGTATTTTGAACCTAAAAAAGCGCCATAAATCTAAGACTAGGCCTGCATATTTTAAGTACTGATGAAACAACAAAATCCCACAACGACATCCCCCTCGAGTATGTTAATGCCTGGCCCTTCCCGCAGGCCTTCCTGCGGTTTATAAATATTACCCGCGCGTGAGACACGCGAGACTTTTTAGATGTGCGAGGATTACATACCTAAAATGTATTGACCATTGCTGTTTACCATATGCATATTGTGCTGGAAAGAATTGATCTCAAGATTTTTTCACAAAATATTTTATGGATACAATTTTTCGGATGGATTCTTCGCATTATCTCACCAGGTCAGTACCTTTGTAGTGCATTCACGCAAATATAATTACCCCCCAACCGATCGGGCTAGCTTTAAAACAGGGAACGGGGAATCCGGGAATCGGGGAATCCGGGAATCGGGGAATCCGGGAATCGGGGAATCGGAGAATCCGGGAATCGGGGAATCCGGGAATCGGGGAATCCGGGAATCGGGGAATCGGGGAATCCGGGAATCGGGGAATCCGGGAATTTCTTTGATAAAAAAACATTTTTCTTGCGAATAATTACATATTGTTTATATCAATAGATTCGTCATGATGAGAGCTATCGAATGGTATATACATCAAATTCACTTAGCAAAACTGTGCTACTTTATCTACATGAACAACCTTAACTCGCAAAAAGTTCTTAGAAACGGCTTTTTAACCCTTGATTTTCTCTATCTGGCGGTATAAAAATCTTTCTTCTAGCACTAATACTCGCGGAACAAAGCACAGTTTTGCTAAGTGAATGTGATCCAATACACAAACCATAGAGCATTCGATAGCTCTTACCAAGACGAATCTGATTGATATAAAAATTATGTGTCTATAAGCATTTCTGATTAAGAATATATAACTTTCTTAATTCATTCACTGTTCCTGTAGATTGGGAATCGTGGAATTTAAAAAAGAAAAAGGGAAGTAAATGGACGTTTTATTGACTGGACGCTAAAGACTGCATACTATTACAAACAACTGCTAGGATTTTACAGAGTTTCGCGGACAGTACGAACGATATTCATTTTCACGTCTTGAATTGAATGAGATACGCCGTCGCACGATGAGCTCTGACTACGTTTATTCTGACGATAATCCGATAATATTTTGTTGCTTGGGTTACTGTGGTAGTAAGGTTTCGCCTTTATTTTTATCATCGAAAATGTAACACAATGCCCGATAAAATTATTACAATTGTTTACAAATTTTAGGATGCTTAAAGAAAATGCTTAGAAATTAAAGATATAGCAAACCTCATATATACAAGTGAACAACATTAAATGTATGATAAACATCATAATTAGGAGCAATAAATTAATAATATTAAAATAGTATTGAATTCTGACAGGCTGACGTACAATTATGATTAACATGCAATTAATAACTAGTAACTCCGCGAGTATTAGTGCTACCAGAAAGATTTTTATACCGCCCGATAGAGAAAATCGAGGGCTAAAACCCGTTTCTAAGAACTTTTTACGAGCTTTCATACTTAGCGAGGTTAGTTTGCCCAAATGTCCAGTATTTTTTCGAAGATTCGTTCGACAGTCTCCAAATAAGAACACTCACGCGATGGTTTGTTTACTTTTTCGTTTGGCTTTAACAACTAGTAACTCCGCGAGTATTAGTTCTAGAAGAAAGATTTTTATACCGCCAGATAGAGAAAATCAAGGGTTAAAAAGCCGTTTCTAAGAACTTTTTGCGAGTTAAGGTTGTTCATGTAGATAAAGTAGCACAGTTTTGCTAGGTGAATTTGATGTATATACCATTCGATAGCTCTCATCATGACGAATCTTTATAAACAATATGTAATTATTCGGAAGAAAAATGTTTTTTTATCAAAGAAATTCCCGGATTCCCGGATTCCCCGATTCCCCGATTCCCGGATTCCCCGATTCCCCGTTTCCCCGATTCCCCGATTCCCGGATTCCCCGATTCCCGGATTCCCCGATTCCCGGATTCCCCGATTCCCGGATTCCCCGATTCCCCGATTCCCGGATTCCCCGATTCCCCGATTCCCGGATTCCCCGATTCCCCGTTCCCTGTTTTAAAGCTAGCCCAACCGATCGTTTTCAGTAAGGTCGCAGTCCTCAGAACGTGCATTCTAATTGGTTGACCCGTAGCCAATAAAAATCGTTCCCATGTAAACGTCATTGGCGCTCTCTGTATAAATTTATTATTATTCTACACTCGCTCGCTGGGCTGGCCAGATCGAATCATCGGTTATTTCCTATAATAGTGTTTTTCGCTTCTACGTTCGCTCGCTGGCTTCATCGGTTCTTTCTTATAAAAAGTTCTTTGAGGGACAACTTCGGGTTATATACTATATATGGCGTCTTCCGGCCTATCTGATGTCGCGGCGGAAGAAGGGGGAGCAGATACGACAAAAGCCAAGGTGAAATATTAATTTTTCTGCTTGTATTAATATTCTGCTTGTAGTAAGTTTTATAATATTTCGAATTCTCTTTATTTTTAATGTTATGAACTCAACTACATTAGAATTGACAGATGTAGTTGGATGAACACAAAAATAACTTTATAAATACGACAATTCAGACGCTTTTCACGTGCCATTGATTTTGCGTTGATTTGCATTGGGCAGGAGTATTTTGTCAATGCCTATCTAATATATCAGGCCACACTCTGCCTGTTGGGAGAAGGCATTGGTAGGTGCCTAAATGTGTATTTTTTTACGATTAGCTAACCTCAGGATGGTCCAAGCGTGGCAAGGGTTCCTGTCCAAATTGTGGTTTGCAATATAGTTGCCGTTACAAGCCACCAAGTTGTTCAGGATGCAATTTTGAGCTTGGAGGATCATATGTCCCTAAAAAAAAGCCTCGTCCATTGGTGCCTAAGTGTACCTTGGTGGTGCAGCCATCAGACGGGTTATCAATCTACTCGGTTAATACCAGTACCCATGATGATCGATGTATTGTGGTTCGTGAAGAGGCTTCATCTATGTGTCAGCATCACCTGTGTAAACAGAATAGAGCCATTCATATTAACAGCCAAAAAGTGGCAAGCTTTAGTTGTCAGCATTTGGAATCCACCAGAGATTGTACAACTCCTCTTCAGACATTCAATGGGATATCAGATGAGGTCATTTCCAGTTATCTCTGTGATGATGAAACAAAAAAAACCCTGGCAGAAGTGGCAAATGCATCAAAGGCACAGTCATTTCCAGTTGTGGTGCATGTTTCTCCAACTTGTATTGCGTCTTTGGAATGGCAACCAACAACACTGTTGGATATTGCCATGTCAAGGTAACTGAAAAGGAAATTAAATGCTGTTCCAAAGACTGCAAAGGTATGTTGAAGAGCAAGCAGCAAAAGTCCCGAAAAGTTTGCACCCACATCCATCTTTTATTGGCTCTTGGCATTTTTACACACAACGAATGTGTGTCAGCAGATCTTCCCCCACCAATAGTGCCAGACAGTTCCTTGACAACAATTGACAGAAGTGGGAGCAAGTCTCGCAAGGCAACCATGGGACTTAAAATGAAGTTAAAGTTGCCATATGTCATTCCAAAACCCATTATTCAGGCAGCAAGTAAAATGGATTTTTCCGGGTGGCCAGAGCAGTTTGAACCAGACCAAACTTTGTGCGATTTGTGTAAAAGTCCTCTTGGTCAGTCCAAGCCACACCCAAATCAACGTGGGCGATCAATCATAATGACCAATGGATGTCCATTCAAAACAGTCAAAATGCTAGTCAAAGATTGCTCATGTTGCTTTGCTATGCACCAAGTGTTTCCCTACACATTAGGTAAGTATATACAGTTCAATATTTTTTGTAGTATAGTAATTCTATGTTGACAGGTGAGTTTCTATTTCACAGTGTACATGTTGGCTCAGGGACAAAGGTTAATTTGATTCAATTTTATTGCCTTTTAGGTCTGTTTAATATTAGTGACAAGGTTCTGGTGGCACTTGAAATTCTATTAGAGTTCCGAGAATTGTTCAAAAGAGGAGTGCCAATTTCTGTAGCCATAAAAAGTAAATTAGCTGTGATGGTCCAGAAAGTTAGGTAATTTCAAGATGATTGTGTATGTACTATGCAATAGTATGCTGTACAACTGCCTAGAATCTGTCAGTGTCAGATTAGTCTTAGTATTTACAATAGGACTAGTCTAATAAATTGGCAAATCGTCTGGTATGGGAATTTGTTAAGGCCCTGTTAAACGATGCAATTTTTCTTGAAACTTGCACTCCACTCTTGACTGATGTAACATTGGCAAAGTGTGACTTCACGAATTAAAATCTCTCAAGAGTATTGCATTGCAAGTTGCAAAAAAAATTGCACTGTGTAACAGGACCTTTAGTCTTGCTCTAAATATTAACAAAGTATCCTGTTGTATTTATTAAGGAGTCGCCAACAGAAAATGAGTTGGAAAGTATTGCTACACATTTATACAATGGGTTTTATTGCTTTGAGGCAATAACTGAACGCAATATGGATTCAGGTGTTTGTGGATTTGTGGTACTGTTGGTGAAGTGTATTTTGGGGATGGAATGAAAAAAATTGCTGCAGCATTAGCGAGGTAAAGCATTCATGGACCAGAATGGCCACATGAGAATTTTAGTAACATTTTGGTCTTTAGTAGTGTTCAATTATTAAAATGTCCTTGCTGGTCTTTAGCCTGTTCTCAGATCCCTCTGATTTGCCAGAGCTTCTTACACAAAATATTGCATTTTCATTGTAGATTGATTACTCACCACTACAAGATATAGATTGAGGAAGATGATCCTATTTCCCTTGAGATGTTCTTGGAGAAATTAAAATACAATTTGGTGGAAAAGACAACCTACACACGATCGAAAAGGCCACTATCCTTTTCCACCATCCCACCAGTCATAGCCCCATCATTGAGAGGTACAAAATTGTTCAACACTGAAGGGGAAAAAAAGTGCTTTTCTCAAGCAATATGGCAAACCTAATGAAGGTTTGTAGCATTACTCATAGTACAATTTAGCCATTCAATTAAAATAATATATGCATATAATACAGCTTGTTTGTGACCATGAATGGTTATTTGGACCAGAATTGATTTTTTAAGTGAATTTAATTATGCATCTGTTGCACAGGTGATCCAGCTCTTTTGCATCATTGGATATCCACTCAAGTAGTTGACATGAACACAATTGAGCAATGCAGTGTCGAGAAGCTGAAAGAACTTTGTCATTTGTGTAATATAGCAATTTCAGGCAAATCAAAGGTATTTACTGTAATTTACGATTGTGACTTGGTATTAATTTGCACGAAATAACTTGCATTTTATTTCTTCGCGTCAGGCAAGAATGCTCATTGATTTGCGGTCATTGTATGAAACCTTGCTGGTTGGTTCATGTCCTTGCCATGGCTTCACAAAAGTGCCAGGGCATACTGGTGGTTTCTACCACATTGTTTGTCGCCATGGCGTAAGTATAGAAATATTTCACCTGCAATGCAACTCTACTTTTGAGACGTGTAAATTACGAAAGTACAACTTTATTTCGTATTGTTCTCTCAACATATCGAACATCTTCACTGACACTAATTAACATCTCTCAAGAGCAGAATTGCATTGCAAGTTGCGAGAAAAATTGCACCCTGTAACAGGGCATTTATCATCTTGTTTTCTTAGACAACCGTAGCCCTAGTCTTAGACGTATACAGTGATATACCATTTAGAGCATTTATAAAATTTACATTTATAGAATTTTTACTCTGGGTGTTCTAAAAAATAATCCTTTTGGGTGTCCTTTCCTTTCAGGTAACCGCAGCTTCAAAGTTTCTGACTTTACAGGAGTCAGTAAGAGATGCTGCCGATCTCTATTTATCATTTAAGCATATTCCTCTTGTTTTCCTTTGCGACACGGCTTGTGGGTTTGTCAGGCACTTAGAGTGCCGGGTCAGTAAAGAAATGACCGAACAGCTATGGAAAGATAACAGAGGGTGTTTTGAGGTACCATCGTTGGATAAACCACCATCAAAGGTATCGTTTACGAAAAATCTACATATTACTGGTGTATTGTGCACGTTCATTGCCCTGCAACATTTTTATTCAGTCAAGGCTAACTTAAGATATGACTTAAAAACAGTTTAGAATATTCTGAAAACCCATAAAATGGAACAAATAAATTATTAATTTTGTCGTCATGACACTTCTAGGAAATGAGTGTCCCTATGCTGACAACAGCAGAATACAGAAAAAGCGACAGTGATATGATACAGGTGGAGGATGGTAGCATGATTCATCCATTGACAGGCACATCCAGGAGATATGTTTTAGGTGACAGATTTCACACAGCAAGCAATCCTCACAAGTCACCCCTTTGTGAATATCACAACATAAATCTTTTGTCTCAGTCGAACACGATAAAAACAAGCTATCAAGAGTCCGAAAACAACCGAAAGAATGTGCGACGGTTACGAAGCTCGACGATGCAAAATTTTCCACGCACTATTTTTATAACTTTTTGATGGATTTCTATCAAAATGAGGAAATAGTAAAAAAGCAACACGACGTAGCTTCGAGACAGCTAAAACCTGGGCAGATGTTATGCAGGAATTCATATATGCAATTTGTGATAAAAGATGGTGAAAAATAAGCATTAGGTTATTACTCATCGCGCGCTTGTTGTTTACGTTGGGTAGGTGGAGCTCATCAGTCTTGGAAGACAGTCCACCTAGGAGAAGGAAAACTCTGATTTAAAACCCCCGGACTCGTGCAATAATGGGTCAGGCTGTCCATGTCGGATTCATTGATGCTGCTAATAATTATTGCAATACTTAATGTTTCCTAGGCATGCTGACGAGCCCTGAGATAGGCGAAACAGCCATTATACACGTATTGTTATACGTAGTATTATTTATTGGATCTAGTTTTCATAACTTTTCATATCTTTAGCAAGCAACTGGACGGTTTATTCGTTCTTTAATGTTTTCAATTAAATTATTTTTAGATTTCTGTTTGCAGAAGTCGCACAGCCTATAATGAAAAAAACAACTTGTTTGAACGTCAATCATATTTATAGGACGTTGAAGTATTAACATTACTGTAAATGTATTGACTTACCACTTTCCTTTAGGTACTCTTTCAATTCCTAGGCACTCCTGATGGTAGTAGCCTTTACCTGGACACTATAGTTGGTTGAAAAATAAAGTTTTGACCGACATTAGTTTTAAGGAAACTATTAGTGGGATACGAGTTGTATCGTTTATTTTACAGATAGTGGAATGAACATAGAAACCTCAACCAGACAACATAAGATTGCTTTTATAAATTTCTCGTACATAAGGTTCTGGACAAGAAACTCTCGGACTGAGAAAATATATGCGAGCTTAACTGTTTTACTGCATTTGAGCACATGCAAAATCGAATCTAGTCTTATGTACTATTTTATACATACGTTCTTTTTGTTTGTGGTTTCACATATCAGCATCATGTCCTCCGATTCTTTATCTCTTTCCTGGAACGATTATGGTATATACATCATTGTATATACATTGTATATACATCGTGCAACTTGCTCTTAATTCAGAACTGCGTGACACAAAGTTCAGAAGTTCTAGCCGGTAAGAGAACTTAGGGGGAAAACAATGTAAATAAACTGATCAATGATGATGTATTTTCCTTTAATGCTGGTATCATGCATGAATAAAAAGGACTTAGACTGGAATTGCACTGGTCCAATATGAATTCGGGGACACGCAAGTTTCCCGTCCGAAAGTTACCGTCTCGTCCAAACAGTGGGAAAATTATGCTGATATTGAAAAATTGTATAAGTACGTCAAAACTAGTTGTATGATTTACCTCTTTGCATGAACACCATTTGTATACTTTAATTTTGCCGGAATTCGGAGGACATGATAATCCACTCGTCCCAGCAATTGTCCCAACACTTTTATTATCAGATCGTGTAGAGCCTATATGTGATTTAAAAAAAGAAAATATGCTCATTAAAATGTTGATGCAAAAAGTGCATGGATTTGGACAGACACACTTGTTAATCAGAATTTCTTTTACTTACTCCGAGGAAGAACGCCAATAGCGCCTTCTGCAAATAATCGCTTTCTGGTGTGCGATTCACCTGTAATTAGTTAAAAGGCATAGACATATTTATGTTATATATATATATATATATATATATATATATATATACAGTAATTTATAATCGTACTTGCAAACCACACAAGACACATCGTATATCGTTTACCTCTTGCAGGCATTTCATTTCTTGCTCGCAGACGTTTTGATCGCCAGTTGCTATTGGGGTTGAATCGGAATTTTGTCTTGGGAAGTTCTCACGTCTGTTGTATTGTGATCTAAGATAATTGGAAAGAGCAAAATAACGTAAATGAATTGTATGCCGGGCAGCAACAGGTATTGCATTGAGTCAGGTGCACGCAACTGTAGTAACGAGCATAAATATTCTCATGCAAGCTGAATAAGTCAAATAAAACGAACCTATTTCGGGTCTCTTTATTATTTTTTGCGCGACTTCAATGGCCTGTAAATTAATACAGAAAAATTGTAACGCTTAAAACTTTATAACATCGTTAAAAAAACATTAAAAAAACTACAAAAGCATCAAAACTCGTTAGTAATTCGTTTTGATAATTTAATATGACATACCCAAGCAAATGTTTTCCTTTTCCTTGGAGTCAGGTTGTTATATCTAGCCTTTGTGTTCGGTGTAAGTTTCTATTTGAATAGTCAAGGATACACCGTGAAACACAGATTAGACAAGTCGTTAAACTGCTTATACAATCTCCTAACTGAGTAAGCCTGCATACCTCTGTAAAACTGAAGTCGAGCTCCTCTTCACTTTCGGTAGGTTCAGTTGTATTTTCGCGATATTGCATGACTTGACTATTTTTAGATGCTATACAAATGTGTTATTAAAGGTTTCAAAATTTAATATGCTGATGAAATACTCAAATAGTAATCCTCATCTGATTTCTGTTATTTCTGATACCTTCTAACTTTATCCTCAACTCGTTTTCGAGAGTGTCCAAGCTTTCGCAACCTTCGTCCGATATTGTTGTTGCTGGATTGTTGATTTCTTCCATATCACTCTCATTGGGGGCATCATCCCGAATTCCACTGGCTAATGAGTAATATTGTTAGAACAACGATTACATTCATGATACAAAACAAGCCTAAACTTCGAACCAGAAAGAATTGCATAGAAACTTTATTTAAAACTTTCTACGCTAAACCATACGCTATCATATGTTGCGTGAATGGCATCAGTTTCCCCAGAGGAATTCGGTACGCTCTTTTCTGGCAAACGTGTTTCCTTTTAATCATTTGCTCCAAGGTGCATTCCCTGTCTTTTCCGAAGTATATCCCTATTGTCCCGGGCTCCCGTACAAGCGTACTTTGCAATTCTTTGAATTCCTATTAAAACAACAAACATTTTGTGAAATGCAGTCACAAGACCGCGTTAGACTCCAACACTGTACGTGTTACTCACTGTATGTGAAATATCGACAAAACTGTCGACAGCAGTTGACAGTAGCGCAATGCCTGGAACCTTCATCCCTTCGATGTTCTTGACAGTAACTTTAGGGTGCAGCCATGTAAGAATCTTAAAAGAGATCAGCAAAATCTGTGAATGTTATATCCAAGGAAATCGAACACTGTGTATATGGCGCCATTTAATACTTTATTTCGTTCGGAATTTTTTTTATGTAAATAGAAAAATGAAAGAAAACAAACCGGGTCTTTTTCCTCGGCTATCTTTTCAATGATGTTAGCTTCTAGCCTTTGCATTGTTGAACGTATACTGACTGTCTGCACCTTTAATAACTCGCCGCATGCAAACAATACGTAATCTTTGGTGTTCGCTTGGTTACCACACGAGAGACGTAACTAAATGAGAAACATAAGTCATGTAAAAATGAACTCTATTATTGAAAACTAGTCCGATCTATTTTTTGCGAGTTATTTGAGTTTCACATACCAGAGCATTTGCGACAAGTACCGCGGCAATACCAGACAACCACCTTGCCTGCACTTCAGGTCGTTTTCATCGAAGATCGCTTGGACGACCTGACCTCTTCGACAATTTCACGCGCATGTTCAAAAACCTCAGCCCATAACTCCAGGTATTTAATTGCCCAGACAAGCAAAATACCCTATATAACAATGACATATTGGTCATGGATTTTGAAGGTATAGTAGCCTAAAATAACTTATGGTTAAGTTTAAGTACACGACGTTTACATTTCCATAGACTAAAATATACCTTGTTTTCTTGCATGAACTCTCGCATAACCTTCAGTTGCTTGTCGTTAAACTTGGCTTGTTCATTCCGTTCCTCGTTCCAGCCGACGTAATTAAACCTAATAACTCTCCCTACTAATCTACAATGAAACAGATTTCGAAGGCTAATGTTAATAACGTAATTTCAGTTTAAGAATTAAAAGACAATTCATTAATTATTGCATAAGTGTACTACCGGGAAACTTCGGGAGAATTCGTCGATATTAACGTGGCGGCCTTGATGGATGTCATCCCCTCCTTATTTGATCCAGACATCAGTCGCCCTTGTGCTTGCAGCAGAAACTCGCTGAAGTTAACATTGGGTTTAGGGTCATCAATCATTATGACCCCAGTCGTTCTCGATGCTATCTCTTGCATTTTCTTTCTATTAAAAATAATTGAAGTCTGCTTTTCAAACATTTGCGAAAAAATGTTTTTATACAACAACGTATAATTTTAACGTGAAACTCACGTAGATGTCCCACATGTCTGGGAGTCTCCACCACTTAGTAACATTACGTGCGATCGATTGGGAATTCCAACACCCCGAGCAAGGAGATTTAGACTCTCCGATTTCCCTATGCTCCTTTCTTCGGAGAATATCATGCCAATAGAACTCTCTCCTAAATGACGAAGACGTTAAAAACAAAGGTAACTATGAGAAAAGAAATTGCAACATGGTAATACTTCTATGGTAGTACTGTACAGTGAAGTTATTTACGTCTTTCACCTTTCCGCGATTGGCTACCTGTTCATTCAAACAGTAACTTACCCCAAACATCTTCAGGATTGAGAGCATTCCTCAGCAACCGAGCCACAGTGAATGCTGTTGCCAGCAAAAATGAGTCCATATTAGGGCCCAAGCATTGCGAAAGTAGTATGAACCTTAGAAAAAAATGAATATATAATTAAAAAATTATTTGGTATAATCGTTTATGTAGTCCAAGTGACACTTAAGTTTCGTAGCCCAAAAACACCGCATTTTTACCTTGCAACAGAACGATTCAACTTTGCGTAATGGTTCAGTAAGCTTTCGTTAATTTGCAATTGGTGGTTTTTTAAAGACTTGTCCAATATTAGATACTTATGATCAATTGGATCTAACACTTTACCATTCTCAATATGCACCTGTAATAATTGAAATTGAATAATTAAATAAACTAATAAAGAGAACGTTCCCAGGGGCTAAACAAAATGCTTTCAGTTGGAGAAGGGATATAAACTAAACGCGAACTTTAGAAATCAACAGATCTCAATATTCTAGTTTTGGTTGTTTCGTTTTAGAATAGTTATGTTTTCCTTTCAAATGCACAACTAGGTAAATATCTATACAAGCGTAATACAACACACATCATTGGAAATAATCCAGTAGTTATTCCCTTGGTATCCCATGAAACGCGTTTCATGGAAAACCCTTTTGTTCTCCTGTTGGGAGAAGTCTTCTTTCAGGTAGCAGGCGTACGAATGAACGATAGCTGACGTCATGTGAGGCCCCAATAAGAACGTTCCTTCTCCATAAGCAGCTCTTAATGAGTCAATGAAACGTTGCTTCGAGTCGAAACAATTGACGTTCAATACGATAAGTCTGAAAAAAATCACCAGATGGCACATGCAATTGTATCTCTCGCGTAGTCTTTGAGAGCTATCTACTTCTAAACTATTTATAAGAACATGTTTATACTTAAAAATCAGGCACATTATAATTAATCATCGGAAATAAGAAGAAATTGGCAGAAATTGGTCAAAACGTGAGCACTGGAAAACTAATTTTTATAGAGAACTGAGCGAAATTTTCTTTCGAGAAAAAGGCGATCAAAACTTTCGCGGGTATTTTAGCGATGCCAGATTTTTCCACCTCCTACTTCTGTAAGCCTGTTCCTTACGCCTTTGCTAATTGCTGTTTGTGTTTTTTTATTAATCTTAAGGTGTGAAAATAATTTCATTTAATATCAAAGCAAAGAAAGTATATTATCAAATATTACTTTTGTATCCCGATACATATTTTATGTGTATCTATATAGGTGCCATGATAATGTGCCCTAATTATCACACATGCCGCTGCATCGGAAACGCATTGTGAAATTAGTATGGACAATGACGCGGTTGTTTAGAGCCTATATTCATTGTGTAAACTGGCTATATACGATGATGTGCATATTTTAAAATACATTTCGTTTAGCGTCTAGTTTATTCCAATTGAGTAACTGTTAATCGTATACATCTAATATCGTATGTATGGAAATGCACAAGTTTGCGCAAGGACACAACAGGACCATTTTCATACTAAAACAAGAAACCACCCGGTACTTTAATGAGTCGCGAAGAACTCGTATAAAAATCCCATTTACAATAAGCTTATGTTGGCCTAGGTTTACACTTTTGCCTTATTGTAGCGGCAGTTTGCGAACAAATTTACTGTTCCTATTCATTCGAATCGTTTGTGACGTTTAAACAACGCGTCATTTCAGCTGCGACTTATTTTCGCTCGTATATATTGCCCTAATGTGTATATACAACTTCAGTAGTTCCATTTGTTTTTGTACACGAAAAACTATATTGTGCGCGCGAGCGTATTTACCATGCATAAAAAACTCCAGTGTGCGGAGAAACAATAAATGTATATCGTTTTACACTACACAAACCTGATCGTAGTTTCCTCATCTTCGGAGGCTGAACCACAACAGCAAACCCAATGCCCAGCAGAATTTTCTTCTTCTTTCAGCTTTAGCTTCCCAAATATTTTGAGCGAGAAATCCCCAAACATGGAAAATTTTTTCCCATAGTAAGTTTTGTTGCCAGCCACACAAAACATTGTTAAAACACTTTCAATCTACATACGAAACGAAGATCAATTTAATATAGGGATACCAATTACCATATTCTCAATGTTATTGAAAAATAAAAATCTCGTTGCTCGCTTTACTAACCTCAGTGTCAGTCTGTCAGACATATTTATATACGTGCCGAAAGGTCTACAAACTTTCCCACTTGCCAAATAGTGAACTTGCTAAGAGTCGAAGGAGAAAGAGAACGCAAGCATATGATAACTGTTATATATACCATATGAAGATCACATGACGGCATAAGGTTAATCACACTTAATTAATGACACTTAATTAATGACAAACCATCTATATGGAGTGTAATATAAGACGGAAGGTGTATGGTAGCATATGATGGCAGGAAGTGCAGAAGTATATAATGAGAATATTACTGTGAAACCTTGTAACGTGTGTAATACATACATATACACACATCAATCGTTTTATTTCGTTTCACTGTTTTGAGTACGTTTTGTATTTCAAAACAATGTTTGTGAATTGTGACATCCTCTAATAAAGGGAAAAAATGTCAAGTTTTTCAACGGCTATAAATAGACCACTTCAAAAATAGCGGCTATTAATCGCTATATAGATGTGTGACTATTATTAGAAGTATTAATAGTCACAAAAATGACAGTTGCCCTTGACAACTTGGCGTCAAGGGCAACTGTCATTTTTGTGACGTCACAAACATTGATCTCACTGCTGCAAAACTTAAGGGCCTAATTCCACGGGCGCTTTTTCTCCGCGAAATGCGAAATATTTCGCCTGTTTCTTTTGAATTTCGACCACATTTTAAATTTTGCCTGTTTCTTTTGAATTTCGACCACTTCATTGCTCACAATTCAAGCAGGCGAAATAGTTATAGTTAGTTAGTTAGTTAGTTAGTTAGTTATAATTAGTTATAGTTACGCTTGCCACGACTGGTACGACTGCTACGCTTGCTACGACTGCTACGCTTGCTACGACTGCTACGCTTGCTACGACTGCTACGCTTGCTACGACTGCTACGCTTGCTACGACTGCTACGCTTGCTACGACTGTTACGCTTGCTACGACTGCTACGCTTGCTACGACTGCTACGCTTGCTGCGACTGCTACGCTTGCTACGCTTGCTACGACTGCTACGCTTGCTACGCTTGCTACGCTTGCTACGACTGCTACGCTTGCTAGGCTTGCTATGGCAAGCCAAAGCTGACAAAAGTGTATCGAGTTGCAATTCACTATTCGAGAAATATAAATCAATAGTCTAGTTCCGTAATTCGATGGACCAGGGTAATATATCGACGGTTCAGACAAATAAATTGACACACGAGTTAAAAAAATAAAGTGTCGAAAAACAAATCGACTGTGGAGAAAGCGATCAGCAGGCGAGAAAGATATCATTAGTCGAGAAGGATAATCATAATCCGAAAACAGCCGAAGCGTAAAGCGAGTTTTGCAAACGGTAAACATAAGACGAGAAGTGTGACTGTACATGTGGTCAGCGGTATCACCGAATGCTAGGCTTTATACTTCAAGTTACTTCAAGTAGTAAGTAGTTCGAAAGTTCAACATCAAACATTGCGTCGTCTTCAGATTCAGATATAATTAGGCAACTTGTAAACAGGATTGGAGAACTTTCTCAAGCAATTTCACCGCCTGATACAAGCAACAACGCAATAAACGGAGAGGTTCGTCGTATTTTTAATGAAGCAATGAACGAAGTATCTGGAGCTGTGCCAGTCACTAGGCCTGCCACAGTCACCACTAGGGGTGGGGACCCAGTGAACTCTATATATATGGAAGGCTCGCTCCAGTTCAAAGTGTGAAGCCAAACATGGCGGATCATGAAGGCTGCTTGGGTACCGAACCAGACCTCCACAAAGCGTAAAACGCGCGAAGCGCGCGTGGAAATTAAAGGCGCGAATTATAAAACTATGACGAAAAATAAAAAAACTAACATTTCGGACGTTTGCAAGTTTGGCTGATATATCAAAAAAAATGTAGATAAAGGAAAAGGATGCCGCGTTGTTGCGCGGTTCGAGGTTCTAAGAATGTAGAAGGACAAAAGGAAAACCGGCCCACTTTTTTCCACAGGTAATAATTATTAAAACCGACTCTAAAGCACAAAAAAATGTTAAGCATAAAAAGCTGTGCGCACATAGCTCACGTATGTGAAGACAAAATCAGTTTTCTCAAATTAAATACAATTTACTACAAATACTACAATATCAAATGCAATTTATATAAGTTATGTGACCACGTGCATTTGTTGACATTTTTGAAAAAAAGGGTTTTAAATTTTAATTAAATCATTTGAAAATACCGCCAAATTTGACCGGGAAGAAAGCAAAATGGCGGCTGATACCTTGTTTTGTAAATAATAGGGCAAAAAATTTAGTTTAACCGCCCAAACAAAGTATTATTTCATTGACATTATGTTTTTAACTCGGAAATTGCTTCAGAAAATAATCTACAAAACTCCGAAACGTCATTGGAAACTCATTTATTATACGATGTACAAAACAAAACATACAAATAGTCAGGGGACCGGTTACGGCTGGACAATGCTATCCACTAGAGAGTGCTTTTTCAAATATAAATTGTGAAATGTCTTGAAGCGATTAAAATACAAATTTCGAGCTAACAATCTTTAAAGAGAACCCATTATTTACGAATACTGAGGTTTTTGAGTGGAACAATTTTTAGAGTGCTAAAAAATACCCAAATTCAGTGGATAGGGCTATCTAGATCAGTGAACTCTATATACAGGCTCTATATATATAAAGAGTTAACTGATCTAGATTTAGTGCAACCGGCCAGTGGCCACAGGAAAATACGACATATATACATCAGTGAAAAAGTTAACAAAATCTAAGAAATTTTGGCATACAGTACATGTGTAGGAATATTTTTGTTGCAAGCTTTTGATTTTCCAATACTTTTTTACCTACAGTATTAGGTAAAAATTTAGGTATTTAGTGCACTATTAATAAACAACTATATATTTACAAATAAAATACAAATTAAAAAAAGGGATAAGTCCTAATTCAAATTCATTGCAAGTATGTCTCATGGGTTCAAAAAATACAACTTTTGCATAAAAAGCCTAACTAATTATAACTTTTTTTGTTCTCACATACTCTCAGTTTAATGACTTTATTTAGTTGAATCGTATAAATGAGAATATGATTCTTTTCAATATCTTGCATCTATTAAAATTATCTGTTGGTTATTGAATAGATTTCCACTCAAAAATAAAGCTTTACTGACAAAGTGGGAAAAAGCAGTTACAAATGATAAAACTGGAGAGAATGTATGGAATGCAAAATCTTGCAGCCGCATCTGCAGTCATCATTTCCTAGAGTCAGACTACATAACAACAAAAAAAGGCTTAACCCAATTGAAAAGAGATGGTTTTCCAACACAGTATCTGACACCTCAGGTCCAAATATCAGAATTCCAAGAAGATAGGCCGCAATTAAAGAGAAAGTGCATAAAACCAGAAAAGTCTTTGATCCAAAAAGTAATGCTTGACCATAACTATGCCAAATCACCAATGTCTCATCAGAAACAAGTCCCATATGTACAATGTGTTGAGCCTCCAAAAGAAAAGAAAACTCTCATGCATATAAAGTACCTAAAGAAAGTTCAAAGGAGAAGAACCAAAGTATTACAGCAGAAGCTCAGAAGACAGAAGAGAAAGGCTAATAATATGAAACAGCTGATAAACGCCCTGAAAACGAAATCATTGGTGAAAGAAGATGAAGCTGCACTGCTGCACAATAGTTTTGATGGCCTCAAGTTATCTCTGTTCAACAATGTGCTAAAGAATGGGAAGGCCAAAGCCTTAAGTGGAAGAAGATACAATGAGCAAGTGAAAGAATTTGCTGTCACTGTAAATTTTTATTCCCCTAAAGCTTACCAGTATTTAAGAACAATCTTACCACTCCCTTCTCCATCCCGTATCAAGATTTGGGCAAGCTCTGTGGAATGTGAACCTGGCTTCATCAAGGAGACATTCAGCATTCTAAGAAACGAAACAAAAGACCATCCAGAAAAGAGGACTGTTGTTTAGTCTTTGACGCAATGTCAATTCGAAAACAAACCATATGGGATCCCAAGAATGACGAATATGTTGGTTTTGTAAATTATGGCCCAACTGACATAAAAACTCCTTCCAATGTTATTGCATCTGAAGCCTTGGTCTTTATTCTGGTTGGGATACGCAGCCACTGGAAGTGTCCAATTGCATATTTTCTAACGGACAAACTTAACTCGATTACTCAAGCGCAACTTATCAAGAAAGCCTTAATCCATTCAGCAGATATTGGTCTTCGAGTTTGGTGCATCACATCTGATGGAACATCACCCAACATTGCCACCTTTAAACACCTTGGCTGCATTTTTGGAGTTACATACATGTCCATGGTAACTAAATTCAAACACCCTTCACTTGGCTATGATGTATTTGTAATTCTGGATCCATGTCATATGCTCAAGCTAGCAAGAAATTCTTTGGCATGCCTTGGATCAATATTTGTGGAAAAAGAAAGCATTCACTGGAAGTTCTTGGAGAATTTGAATGAAATACAGCAAGATCATGGCTTGAAGCTGGGAAATAAGCTGACAAATAACCACATCAAATATGAGACCCACAAGATGAAAGTAGACCTTGCTGCACAGACCTTGAGTTCATCTGTTGCTGATGCCATCAACTTCCTCAACATCGTAACAAAAGATGCAAGATTTCAAGGGAGTGAAGCAACGGTGACATTCATTCGCAATGTGGACAAAGTCTTTGATATTCTTAATAGCAGAAGTCCATTCGGGAAAGGCACTAAGCAACCTTTGAAGCTAATCAGTAGGAATCACTGGGAAGCAGAACTTTTGATGATTGCAAACTATCTGCTTTCATTGAAGTCAGCTGATGGCAAGTTGCTAGTGAAACATAAAAGGAAAACCTTTATTCTGGGGTTCGTTATAACCATCAAATCCACAATTGAAATGGCGACAATGATGCTAACTCAACCAACTAATCCATTCAAATATCTTCTGACCTACAAGTATTCCCAAGATCATATTGAGCTTTTATTCAGT